AAATGAATGTGAATCCACCTTGTACAAGCATGTGAACACTTATTGTCAGCCTCAATTTTGACACTTTGATTATTTACATATATGGCAAAGGAACATATTTTTATGTATTTCATGAAGAATAATGAACATACAATGGTAATAAAACTGTATTCTTATGTTAAAGTATGTGTCTAATGTGCATTTATTTTATGCTGACTTCGTTTTGAAATCGGGAGGGGGGGGGGGGTTCGGCAGCCATCTTGTTTGTTTTAAAAGCGCCCCCTAGAGGCTAACTGGTTATAACGAACTACGGTTATAACGAACTGTTTACGTTGGTCCAATGCTTTTCGTTATAATGAGGTTTGACTGTACATGTACATGTAAGCTATATACTTATGTTGTGCATTAAATCACTTGCAAGTGAAAAAAGATGGTCGAGGGGTGGAGGCGAGGACTCTAGAGGACACCATCTATTGAAATCAAGTTGTGTCAAGTGAGCCGTAGGGATTACATTACAGGATGACAACTTAACGTTGTCATCTTGAGCCACCTCTGACTGCCTCTCCCTGAGGGCCACTCACTGATGATTTTATGTGTCATTTCTCACAATAGTGTGCGCTGTGTGTCATAATTTGTTATTGTCCCCCACAACATCACCTATTTAAATGAAATGGCAACTAATCGATTCTTAGTTTTCAAATCGCCATTTATGTGACATTAGCCTTGTGTAGGGTCACTTTAGAAATTGTTTTTAAAACAATATTTCGGTGAGATTTGGTCATTTTTATGTGGGTATATTTAGACAAAAGAATGTTCAAAATCACAGCTATTGTTGCTTTAGTTAAAGGTTTCGAATTTAATTTTTAAAATTATACAGAAACCATAATGCCCATATAGTAATCATTCTTCTATGTACTGTAGAATACTTTATTTTCGCTTGGAATTTATTTTCGCTATTTTCGCTGAAGGGATGATTCCGTGAAAATAAAATTCAGCGAATATACTTTTTTTCCTATATTTTACATTAAACTCATCAAAAATCAGTGAAAATAAATTCCATACAAAATGCCCGAAAAGCCTTTTCAGCGAAAATTAATTCCAGCGAAAATAAAGTATTCCACAGTACATGTATAATATTTACAGATTAGTTGATGTTCTTCCTTAATTTACACGTATAGAGTGTTTGGACACCTTGTATGTGTCAGTCTAGCTGTCAGATAAAAACTTACTTTCATTTTTTCACCAATCATCTTGCTACAGTCATTCTTTAATTTGTTGAAATTGTCAGCTTGGTACCTCACTAGAAATGAATAAATAAAAATTCTGCATTATTTAAAACACAAGGAGAGAGTGTTACAACAAATGAAAGAAATGCAGTGTCTTGAAATCAAAAACTTAAATCCCAGGCTAGCTCTGCTGTTTGATATGGGTAGGCTGTAGCAATCAGATGCACAGTATAGAAAAAGTGATAACGCAGAAAATTTCAATTTGGTAGTATTCCACAAGCGCATTTAAAGTATAAACAACCGCAGTTTTGACAAAACACGAGAAAGCTGTCATTGAAAACAGAGAAATAACACTTCTATGTCAGGAGTTTTTCTAAAAAAAAAACTGCTAGAGGGAGCACTGCAATTCAGCGGCGCCACCAAGTGGGATAGGGTTCTCCCTACCAGGGTGTGGAGGTTTTGATAATTCTAAGTTAAAATGGAGCATTCTATGGATTCCTTGGGGCCAAAATTACTATCAGACAGGTCATAGTTGAAGACTATGGCCACAATATTGATAGTGTAGTTTATATTATGAATACACAGAGATGTAGCTTTACTAGTAAGTTCACAACAATATCTTTGATCAAAAAAAAATTGTAATAGGAAACAACCTTGAATGCATGTATAGAAAACATATTACAGAGAACACTAAACATAATTTGGAACATTTGACTACCGCCACAGTAACATCAATCCCTCACCTACAGCTTGGATTGATACAAAACTTGGTGGTACATGTATATGACTCATCTCTGCTGACATCAACCAAATATTGTTGAGATTATATAGATTGAAATTAAAAATAACTCTTGCTTGTCCATTGAATAGATTGGAGAACAAGTGTCTGTCACAATTGATGATGTATCTGTTTTTAGCATGATAAATTAACACATTATTTAAAATAAAATTTTAATTTTCGGCTTATCATCTTGAAGTCTTTCTGGACATTAGCAACTTTGACTACCAGTACCCCCAATTTGTCATCTGTCAACAGGTGCAGGCAATTTGTACATCCACCTTTCCTAGCTGGAATCTGCCCGTCTTTGACAGGCCTTAATTTCAATCCCTGTTATACAAATGCATATAATAAAATGTTTCATGATTTACTGTTGGGAATTTAGATATTCCATAGAAAAGGACAGTTATTAGTCAGTCATACTGCATCAAACCACAAAACCAATAAAATTCACAGGCAAATAAGATAAATGTTTGAAGGCACCCATTAAAATTTCATTCAAACCCAAAACAAATTAGTGTCGAAGTGTCCATTGGCAAAATATTGGTGTCAAGTTTGAGTAAAATTGGTTGAAAGGTGTACAACAACAAAATGGTAATTATATTTTATCTTAGGTCAACAGACATGAGTGATTACAGCCAGAGTTTTGTATCAATTCGAGCTTCAGGCGATGATCTCAAGTGTATGCTGACGAAAATATCATAGGATTATATACCGGTATTTATCATCTGCATATGTCCACAGTATGACATAGTGAAATAACATGTGTTGACAGTGGAACTATTACTGAAATAACACAGGGGGTATTCTATTTCACGTGAACGCCTACACTGTATAGAGATTCTACATGATTATTTGCTCAAATTCATTAGAATTTTTTTTGGAAATATCAACCAATTTTTGTGTGGGAATGAATACAATTCTGAAAATACACACATCAGCTTGTCAAAATTAACCATCGTTACAAAAATCTGTAGTTACTGGACTGAAAGCTCCGAACAATGTTCAAGCAGCGTATACAATGAAAAAAGTTCATTAGTAAGTAATATAACACTGCAGTGATAGGGGTAATGATCTGCCATGTCCTTCATCACAATGTGGTGATAAGTAATTTATGCATGTGATAAGGAGTCTTAACAACAGCAAAATGAAGCCAAAATACAAGTTCCGGTTCCGGTTCCGGTTCCAGTTCCTGTATCCGGGTATGCCAATCTTAAGTATGTCTGTGGCATTTTTTTCAACTGCATTGTCAACACAGAGCAACCAAATAGAATTGTTGATTGACAATCACCGAGACATAAGCATGATACACATCCTCTTAATTCTGTGATTTTCAATGACAGAAAACTAATATTAAAATATATACATCAAAAATACAAAGTACAAATACCTGAGTTTGTTAAGAGCTAGTCTGGCTATCATCCAAATTACAATATACATTGTATACACATAAATTCAATATATGTTCCAATTAATTGAAGTGGTGATAAAACGTGTCTTGCGAAAGAAATACAATTTCTTTTTAACTAACCAAGGTCATTTCCTTCTGTTTATATGTTAGTTATGCATATGTATCTGAGAATTTCAATATAAACAGGCCGCAAGAAATTGAGTAAAAAACCATATTTAGTGGAAACACTAAAACACAAATAATTGGTAATGGAAGTACTATACATGTAGCTAATAACACAATAACCTACACTTTCACACAGTATATTTAGGGGTACATGTCTTCAAGTACATGTTCATACATGTATTATATTTGCTCTATTACCAGTAGAAGCACACCAAGAATTTCATCAAAATATGACTTAATAGTTGGATCATAGAAACACCTCTTATTAGTTGCGTTCACGCACAGCTCCTTAGCATGGGCTAAGAGGTCAAATTCCTTAGCCCGTGTGCTAAGCAAATGTGCGTGAACGCTTAGCACGGGCTAAGGAATGCTAAGTACGGGTTAAATCTGATCCGAATTTAAGAAGCGGTCTAGACCCTTAGCACGGGCTAACAAAGTGTGCGCGAACGCTTAGCCCAGGGCTAAGCGCCTTCTGCAGCGACCTTTGGGTGTGAACATTATGCACGTGTGATCAAATATATCCAACTTTTTCATTCCCAAAAAGGCAACCGAGCTCAGTGTACACGCTTCCACACTAATCGGGTCGCTGTAGTAGAGCGTACAGCAGCTCCAATCGTAGACAAAATAAATTTGGTTCGCTGTCTACGACATGCATTAATAAAACTCTGTATTCTGTAAGGCCGTTGTATACTGTTTCTGTGCATCCAAATAAGTTGGGTCCATCTTCTCTCACGTTCCTGTGCACGTCGCTTCAAAATTAGAGCGAAACATGTCAGCAGCAGAAATAGAACCTCACGCGTGTCATCCATTTTTCATTCGTAAATAGCGGCTTGCCAAAGGTCATCAACTGATGGCGCCCCTTAGCCCGTGCTAACGATTGGCCCTCCCTGTGCGTGGACGCAATTGGATCTAGCCGAAATGCAAATATGCTAGATAAGCCTAAATCAGCCTAAATCATAGCCGGTACTTCGTGTAACGTGAACACAACTATTAAGTGTATGCAATACTAATAGAACAAATACGGTATTGTTATCATTTGGATTTTCTCTACTTCAAATCCTTTTTATCAGTCTGCATGTTTAAGTAAACATATTATTTTTAAGCAAAAACCAAATTCCAAAGTCTCATGCACTCGACAACTATATTGCATAGACCACTAAGACGTTTACAATTGATTTACAATTACATTGAGTTGGTGATAAAATTTGTACGAGACAAACAGTAGATACATTGTTCTTAATTTATTAATTCCCCAGTAATTCTAGTTACACAAAATTTTTAGCTAAAT